TAAGAAGCAATTCCTTATCCATCACAAAGTTTTATCATGAGATTGCAGCAATTCAATCACTTCTAATTCTAATTCACTAGCTATTTCTATCACATTCTACAGTTACTTCCTCCACTTGAACCCCTCGAAGTCACCCATGATGGTTGGAATCAACTTCTTCCAAATTCCTGTTAATGCTGATATTTCAACCGTCTCTAATGAATCACAAATGTTCTTTATGGCATCTAGGATAGTGAATCCTTTCCAGAAGGTTTTCAATGTGCTTTGCCCAAATCCATGAGAAGAATCACTCTCTATGGCAGCTATAGCCTTATAAATTTTTTTGTTGTTTTGGGGGCTTTGTTTTGTTTTGTTTTTAGAGACAGGGTCTTGCTATGTTGCCCAGGCTGGCCTTGAACTCCTGGGATAAAGCAATCCGCCCACCTCAGCCTCCCAAGTAGCTAAGATTACAGGCACACACCCCCAGACACAGCTACAAAGCGTAGTTCTTAAATAATAAGACTTAAAAGTCAAAATTACCCCTTGATCCATGGGCTGCAGAATGGATGTTGTATTCACAGGCATGAAAACAACTTTAATCTCCTTGTACACCTCCATCAGGGCTCGGGTGACCACGTGCATTGTGAATGATTAGTAATACTTTGTTTTCTTCTGAGCAGTAGGTCTCAACAGTGGGCTTAAAATATTTAGTAAACCCTGCTGTAAACTGATGTGCTGTCATCCAGGCTTTGTTGTTCCATTTATAGAGCACAGGCAAAGTTAGATTTAGTATAATTCTTAAGGTCCCTAAGATTTTCAGAATGGTAAATAAGCACTGGCTTCAACTTAAAATCACCGGCTGCATTAGCACCTAACAAGAGAGTCAGCTTGTCTGTCCTTTGAAGCTTTGAAGCCAGCCATTGACTTCTCCTCTCCAGCTATGAGAGGCCTAGTTAACGTCTTCTTCCAGTATAAGGCTGTTTTATCTACATTAAAAGTATGTTGCTTAGTGTAGCCACCTTCATCAATTATCTTAGCTAGATCTTCCAGATGCTTTGCTGCCGCTTCTACATCAGCACTTGCTGCTTCGCCTTGCACTTTGATGTTATGGAGACGTCTTCTTTCCTTAAACCTCATGAACCAACCTCTGCCAGCTTCCAGCTTTTCTTCTGCAGCTTCCTCACCTCTCTGAGCCTTCGCAGAATTAAAGAGAGTCACGGCCTTGCTCTGGATTAGGCTCTGGCTTAAGGGAATGCCGTGCCTGGTTTGATCTTCTGTCCAGACCACTCAAACTTTCTCCATGCCAGCCATGAGGCTATTTCACTTTCTTAGAACTCTTGTGTTCACTGGAGTGGCACTTTTAATGTCCTTTAAGAACTTTTCCTTTGCATTCACAGCTTGGCTGTTTGGTGGAAGAGGCCTAGCTTTGGGCCTGTCTCAGCTTTCAACATGCCTTCCTCACTAAGCTTAATCATTTCTAGCTTTTGATTTAAAGTGAGAGATGTGTGGCTATTCCTTTCATTTGGACATTTAGAGGCCATCATAGGCTTATTAATTGGCCTAATTTCAGTAACGTGCGTCTCAGAGAATAGGGAGACTAAGGAGAGGGAGAGAGACGGGAACAGCCAGTCAGTGAAGCAGTCAGAACACACACAACATTTATCAATTAAGTTCTCTGTCTTATATGGGCGCTGTTGGGTGGTGCCCCAAAACAATTACGATAGTAACATCAGAGATCACTGACCACAGATCACCGTAACAGACATAATGATAATGAAAAAGTCGTTGAAATGTTGTGAGAATTACCAAGACACAGAGGCACGAAGTGAGCACAAGCCGTTAGAAAAATGGCACCAACAGACTTGCTCAACGCAGTGACCACAAACCTTCAATTTGTGAAAAACACAGCCTCTGCGAAGCACAGTAAAGGGAAGTATGCCTGTGGTCAATTGCATGGTATGTTAGACTGTGGTAAGTGCCCAGGAGAAAAATAACCCAATACACCATCTCAGCGAGGCCGAGTGAGCACACAAAGCAAACCACATGCAGAAAATGCCACCTGTGGGTACCACTCATAAAGCATGTCGCCACCCCGAGTGGGCAAGATGGCCAGGTGCAGTTACCACGTGAGGAAACCAGACTCACCCAGGATTGCCTGCTAAGTGGCGTGGGCCAGTGTCCCATAGCCACAGCCACAAGCTGAGAGCTGCCTCCCGAGGCCTCTGTCTATCCGTCTGGCCATCTGTTCACCAGCCTCAGGGAGGGGCTCTCCCACGCTCCCAACCAGGCTCTGTGTGCCTTCCTTCCTCCTTAAGGTGTTTGCTGAGCACCTACTATATGCCAGGCCCCGTGATAGGCCCTGGAGCCACCCCATTCCCTCACAGGGATGACAGTCCAAGGCGAGAGAACAGAGGTTTTGCCTCAACTTAGGCCTGCGGGCCTCTCATCTGCGCAGGGCCCTGCCAAGGCCCTGTACCTAATCTTGTAGTTGTAATTTTGTAATCATCTTCCTAAGGAGCCATACCCCCATACCTTATGTTTCATGGCTTCATAAAACCTGATTCTGTCCTGGGGGAGACGAACAACAAACATGTAAACAAACAAATGTATAATTGTAAAAAGTGTCAAATGCCAGGAAGGAAAAGCCCTAAGTATTATGGCAGAAAATAATGGGGAGTGCATATCTCCAGTGGGGAGGAGAGCTGAGGTGTACCCCTTTGAGGAAGTGACCAGTTGAGGACTGCAGGGTGAGAAAGGGCCAGCCGGGCAAGGAGCATATGGAGTAACAAGGGGAAGGTCTCTCCGAGCCTCTGTTTCCCCACACGTGGAGTGGAGATGGCAGTCACAGCAGGGCAGGCTGTGAAGGGTAAGTGGCAGATGCAGGGTGCCCACTGTGGGCACACCACCCAGTAGGACCTGTGGCTCAGGCCCCCAGCTCAGCTCGGAACTGCCCTTAATCGGCTTTTGTCCTCCCAGGAGGGACAAGTAGGGCTGGCTACCTCCTCTCTCCCCCCAGCAGCTGGGGCCGGCTGTGCCAGGGCCAGACTTGGGGGCGGGAGCTGAGATCACTGGGCCTTTGGCTCTGTGAGTCCACCCTGGGGAGAGAGAAGGCAGCCTGGCTGGGTGAGAGGGGACAGTTTGTTCAGGACTGGGGCTGGGACCCCTGGGTCTGAGGGAGGAGAAGCTGGGGGCCTGGACTCCTGGGTTCTCCTCCTGGGACAAGGACTCCCAGTTGAGCTGGGGCTGGGAGCGGGCAGAGAGCGGGGGTGGGGAATTGGGCTCTGTACTCTGTTTACAACACGTGTTCCTCACTGTCCTTTCTGGGTGGGAGGTGGCTCTGGTGGCCACACCCTGGACAGGACAGCCCCTCCCCTAGTTTATCGCCCCAGGCAGCTACTGGCACAAGCCACAGACCAGCAATCGCAGCCTGGGAGCTCAGAAGAGGCCTGGGAGGGGTGAGTGCCCGGCCAGCTGCAAGACAGGAATGGCCGCTGCTGGACCCCGGGGCCAGGAAAGGAGAGAAGACACCTTCTTCTTGGGGAAGAGGGAAACAGCCGAGGTGTCAGGCTTCGGGCTTCGGGAGGGAAGAGTCCCTGGGACAGATAGTAGCATCCCCACCAGGGGGGCAAGGGCCGCTTGTCCAGGACTTGGGTGACAGGGTATCCAAGAAAAAGGGTGGCCTGAGTGCCTTGGAAGACGGAGATACCAGAGGGAAGATTACTGGGGACGACCCAGAAGTGTGGGGAGTCAGACGCAGTACAGCAGAGGCTTTGAGGGCCAGAGCTAAAGGTCTGGCCTCCGGAGTCCCGGGAGGGCACCCGGCATAAATATGGCTCTGGACCCGGAGACCTGGGTTTGAATAAGCTCTGCCACTTTCCGTGCAACCTTCAGCTCCTTTCTTAACACCTCTGAGCCTCAGTGCTTTCCCCTGTAAAACGGGGTGCTAGCAATAATCGAGATTTGAACCTAGGCCTGCGCGTGTCTCAGAGGGTTAGTGTACTACCTGGGCAAACGCACAGAAAGCTCTGAGCACAGCTCGAGGTCGATGGCGACGATGAGTACCGCTGTTCCAGCCAGGGGAGCGGGGCCGGCCGTGCAATCTAAGACAAGTGGGGCGCCCAAAGGTCAGGGGACCCAGCTGGGGGAGAATTGAGACCTAGTTTGGGGAACTGAGGTTTGGAGGGGGTTCCACAGCCAGACTTGAGGGATCAGGAGTGGCTCCTCACTGAAAAGACTAGAATTATGAATTCCTGGTGCAGGAAGAGAGCTGGGCCTGGGGGCTAGCTGGAGATGGGAATGGGTGGGCTGGGGGCTAAATGCTCCCGAATACTGGTGGAGAAGAAGGGCCCATGGGTGGCATCTGGGCCCTAAGACGGAAAGATGGGATGGGGGCCTGGACTCCTGGGGCCTGACAGAGAGGACCAACCAGGGGGTCTGGACTTCTTGGGACCTAGGAGAAGGAGTCCAGGGCCCCAGGAGAGTAAATGGGGACAGGCGCCTGAACTCTGGGGTTCCTGGGAGGAAGAAAAAAGGGTAGGTGGACTCCTGGGTCCTAGGGGCGATGCAGGAGCGAGGGAACCAGAGTCTTGTGGGTTCAGCGGAATGTCTGGATTCCTGGGTCCAAGAGAGAGGAGGCGGCCAGGGATGGCAAGGTTTTGAATCCCAAATAGGTGAGAGCAGGGGCTCCTGGGTCCTGAAGAGGACAGGCTGGGGGACTGGGCTCCTGGGTCTGAGGGAGAAGGGGACTGACAGGGGACTCCTGGCTCCTGAGGAGGGAGAAAGGCACTGGGGACTTGGCCTCATGGGTCCTAAAGAAGGAAGGGGATGGGGCCCCAGATTCCTGAGTCCTGGGTCTGAGGGAGGAGGCACCTGGGGTCCTGGGCCCCTGGATTGCAGGAAGAGAGGGCTGGGGCCTGCCACCTGGGTCTGAGGGAGGAGGGTGCTAGGGCCCGGACTCCTGGGCCCCAGCTGGGCAAGGAGTGGCCTGGCCCTGCCTAACAGGACTCCCCACCTGCCCACAGCCTCAAGGCTCACACACAGCATGGACCTACGCACAATGACACAGTCGCTCGTGACGCTGGCAGAGGACAACATGGCCTTCTTCTCCAGCCAGGGCCCCGGGGAGACAGCACGGCGACTGTTGGGTGTCTTTGCTGGTGTGCGGGAGCAGGCGCTGGGGCTGGAGCCAGCCCTGGGCCGCCTGCTGGGTGTCGCACACCTCTTTGACCTGGACGCAGAGACCCCAGGCAATGGGTACCGCAGCCTGGTGCACACGGCCCGCTGCTGCCTGGCACACCTGCTGCACAAATCCCGCTACGTGGCCTCCAACCGCCGCAGCATCTTCTTCCGCACTAGCCACAACCTGGCCGAACTGGAGGCCTACCTGGCCGCCCTCACCCAGCTCCGCGCTGTGGCCTACTATGCCCAGCGCCTGCTGGCCACCAACCAGCCCGGGAGGCTCTTCTTCGAGGGTGAAGAGGGGCTCACCGCCGAATTCCTGCAGGAATATGTCACACTGCATAAGGGCTGCTTCTATGGCCGCTGCCTGGGCTTCCAGGTGAGCCCCCTGCCCTGTGCCCCACGGTGAAGGCATCCAGTCGCCCCTAGCTTGGCCCAATAGTGTGATAAAATTACTGCAGTGGTCAGTGTTGGGTTCAGAAAACAGCAGACACAGAGAGAGGAAGTTCGCTGGAGCTCAGACACAGCTGCACCAGGGGCCTCAAACTCATGGGCCCTGGGCCAGAGCTGCTGTGTAGTGAGAAATCTTCAACTTGCATAGTGTTCTCACCAGGACATCCACTACTCTCTCCTGTCCTGCACTCAGGAGAGTCACTTGTTCTTCTGTGTCACTTCTGTGGCCCCTGAAGTCATTTGAGTTTGAGACCCCTAGGAGGGACGCATTGTTCTCAAAGGACTGATCTGTAGCACACCACTTCTCTGGCCCGCTGGAGCCTGGAGGGAGACAGGACGGCCATGTGGCTGCTGGGCTGTGGCCTGCGCTTTTCCACTCGCTTAAGGAGCTGTAGGATCACAGGATTGTCAGGCTGGAGGGAGGGCCAACGAGCCCATCAGAGTTGGTGACGGTGAGGAAGCCCTGATGTGGTCTCTCTCCTCCGTGAACCAGGAGGCCTCCTCCCCGCCGCCCATCCCAAACCATACTCAGAAAAACGCAGTTCATCGACGTGACGAAAGTGAGGCAGCCTGAAGGCCCTTGTGTAAAAAGAGGTTTAGGGACTCAGACAATTTGGGGCCCTCGAGGCACCAGGCTCACAGCTGGGGCCCAACTTGTCCCTGTTCGGGTTAATGTCCGGTCCTCCAGTCCCCAGCTGCATCAGGGGACCCCAGCAGGAGTACCTGGAGCTGTGTGGCCCTGTAGTCCCTCTCACGCTCTCTGGGCCTCCCCCAGCCTCAGCAATAGCTGAGCTTGGCAGTCCCTCAGCCTCCCCTCCCCACCCCACTCCCCAGGCCTCCCCGCGGGCCATCCTGTCCTCAGCAACCCAGCCCGGCATTCCTGGAAACCTCCCCTCACCCATGCTGAACCCACAAATATTGATCAGCCCAGCTGGGCCCGCCAGCTCCTCCCTATGGCCCAGCCATGACCTTGGAGTCATGAGAAAGAGATTCTGGTGCTGCCCGAACCAGCATCCCAGCCACAATGGCCAGGCCCTCTGGCCCACTAGGCCTCCCGCCAGGGGCAGGGCCCAGCTCTGCTGTGGTGCGGGGCCGTCTCCCTCTAAACTGGCATCCCCCAGGAGGACAGAGGCCTCCCCTGTCTTAGTGTCTGCTCCAGCCCAGCGTCTAGCAGGCAGCAGGACCTTGGCCAGTGTCTGTTAAGTGAACAGAAGACCCCCGCTGGCCCCTTGCCTCAGCCTCCTGTGGCATTGTTTCCTCTGATCCTGTGTCCCCACTGTCATTTCTTAACTGCCTGTCTGCTCTCAGACACTATGTCTCTCCATTCCTCAGTCATGGCTCTCTGTCCCTGTCCCTGGGCCTCAGACAGTCTCCCTCTCTGGCTGTCTTTCTGCCCCAGGTCTCTGTACCTGGCTGGTTGTCCAAACACCTCCCTTTTCCTTTCTTCCTGCTGCCCCATCTCCGTGTCCTGTCTCTGACTTTCAGGAAGTCCCCACACCATCTGTCTCCCCAGCTCACAGCCAGCCCGCCAGCGGCTGCGCCTCACACAGAGCGCAACTGAAATTCCCCAGCCTAGGCCCTGCATGAGCCCCCTCTGCCCCTCCGACCTCGCCCCTGTTCACCTGCTCCAGCCACGCCAACCCCCTGGCTTTCGCCACCCATGCCAAGCCCAGGCTTCCTCTAAGCCTTTGTGCTTGCTGTGCCCTCTGCAGGGAACACCCTTCCCTCGCTCCATTCAAACCGATCCTCTGAGACCCATCTGAGCAGCCCGACCTCTGCTTATCGCTCTGTGTCCCCTCCACCTACTGTCATCTTCAAATCATTCCTTGTTCCTCGACATAACATTGCATATGGCCTTGTTTATTTGCTGATCATCTCTCTTCCCTTCGAGAATGTCAGGTCCACGAAGGGGCCTAGAGCCACGCCCAGCCCATGGTAGGAGCTCACGAAATGTTTACTGAATGAACGTGTCTCCCCCACGCATCCCTGTCCCTCTCCTGGCCGGGCGGGTGGGTGACGGTACGTCTCTCTCTGCCAGTTCACACCCGCCATCCGGCCATTCCTGCAGACCATCTCCATCGGGCTGGTGTCCTTTGGGGAGCACTACAAACGCAACGAAACCGGCCTCGGTGAGTTCCAGCCGGGCCCCGCCCGCAGCCTCCGCTCCTGCTCCTCCTCCCCACCCCTGCCCTAGCAGCCTGACCACCGGGGCTCCCTGACACCCCTCCCACCCCCCAGGTGTGACCGCCAGCTCCCTGTTCACCAGCGGCCGCTTCGCCATCGACCCAGAGCTGCGTGGGGCCGAGTTCGAGCGGATCATACAGAACCTGGATGTGCACTTCTGGAAAGCCTTCTGGAATATCACCGAGATCGAGGTGCTATCGGTGAGCATGGGGCCCGGTGAGGACCCTACCTTGTTACAGATGGGGACGCTGAGGCCCAGAGACCCGAGGCCACGGCAGGTCTCTGCAGGGCTCCAGTTCCAAGGGGTGGCAGCACAGGAGGGGAGAGACTGAGGACCACAGGGCAGGTGTGGGGGCACCGCAGCAGGCAGTCCTCCCCAGGACCGCTCTGTTCCCTCCCACCAGTCTCTGGCCAACATGGCATCGGCCACCGTGAGGGTAAGCCGCCTGCTCAGCCTGCCGCCTGAGGCCTTTGAGATGCCGCTGACCACTGACCCCACGCTCACGGTCACCATCTCACCCCCGCTGGCCCACACGGGCCCTGGGCCAGTCCTCGTCAGGCTCATCTCCTATGACCTACGTGAAGGACAGGTAGGGCCCCAGCCTCGGCCAGGTACAGGCCTGGAACCGATGGGTGCGGGCAGCCCCTCCCCAGCACCCGCCCTAGATGCTGCGCACACCTGCCCCCATCCTGTCCCTTGAGCACATCCTCTTGGAGTGGCACAGTCCGGGCAGGCCCACCCAGCCTCACCCGCCACCTCCCTGCTCACCCCCAGGACAGCGAGGAGCTCAGCAGGTTGGCGAAGTCCGAAGGCCAGTGGACCCGGGAGCTGTGGCAGCGCACCCAGCAGGCACCCCGCTCACGGTCCCTAGTAGTGCACTTCCACGGCGGCGGCTTCGTGGCCCAGACCTCCAAATCCCACGAGCCCTACCTCAAGAGCTGGGCCCAGGAGCTGGGCGCCCCCATCCTCTCCATCGACTACTCCCTGGCCCCCGAGGCACCCTTCCCCCGCGCGCTGGAGGAGTGCTTCTTCGCCTACTGCTGGGCCATCAAACACTGTGCCCTCCTCGGTGAGCCGCAGCCCCCTGCTGCCCACGCCTGTTCCCACCCCTGCCCCAACCTGCTGCAAGCTCCTCAGCCTCGGCCTGGCACCCTGCCTTCCCCTTCCCCACCCCCACCTCCCACCCCATCCTGCCCCAGTCTGCCATCTCGGCTTCTCCCTCCCTGCCTCCTGCTGCCTCCTTCGACTCTCCATCTCTCTGCCTTCTCAGCCACTTTAATCCACTTCCCACCCACCCCCCCGCCTCTGTGGCCTCTGCATTCCTTCTCGGCTGCTGCAGGCCCAGCTGTCCTGCTTGCCAGCCTCCCGGTCTATACCAGCCCACACTCCAGTTTCTCTGACCTCCCTCTTCAAATACCAACTTCTTGGGAGGACACTGAGGCCCAGAGCAGGGTGTGACCATCCCCTAGGACACAGGGCCTATGGCCCAGTGCTGACCCTCCACTCCCACCCGCTGAGGCCTCTCCCTCCTGCACCAGGCCCAGAGCTTGAGTTCCTCCCGCCCTCCCTCCCCAGTCTCCTGCCCCTGCCAGGCTTTGACCAAGGCTCCCTCAAACCAGGCTCAACAGGGGAACGAATATGCGTCGCGGGGGACAGCGCAGGTGGGAACCTCTGCTTCACCGTGTCCCTTCGGGCAGCAGCCTACGGGGTGCGGGTGCCAGACGGCATCATGGCGGCCTACCCGGCCACAATGCTACAGTCCACCGCCTCTCCCTCCCGCCTTCTGAGCCTCATGGACCCCCTGCTGCCCCTCAGTGTGCTCACCAAGTGTGTCAGCGCCTATTCAGGTGAGGCCCACACCGTCACAGCAGGGGGTGGGGGACGCTCAGATGCCAGGGTCCTACAGGGGCTGGGGACAGGACTCCTGGGGCTGAGGAAGGAGGGGCTGGGCAGAAGAATCTGCGACTCCTACTTTCTGGAGCAATCAGATAGGCACAGGTTCCTGGGGGCACAGATGCCTTAAGTTCTGGGTGTTAAGCCTGGGCCCAGAAAGAGGGGAGAGCAACACAGCCCCCGCACACACTCTGCAGGTGCGGAGACAGAGGACCACTCCGACTCGGACCAGAAGGCACTGGGTATGATGGGACTGGTGCGGCGCGACACAGCCCTGCTCCTCCGAGACCTCCGCCTGGGCGCCTCCTCGTGGCTCAACTCCTTCCTGGAGCTGAGCGGGCGCAAGTCCCAAAAGACGTCACAGCCCGTGGCAGGTGAGTGGCTCCCTCCCACCACGCACCCAGCCAGGGTGGCCAGGAGGGACAACCCAGCACAGCGAAAGTCCCAGGGGAGGAAAGGGGCCGAGCCCCGGGGCACACAGTGAAGCAGAGATCACCTTCCCGGCTGGCTCCGCCCCATACCCCTCACTGGCCCCTACCACAAAGCCTCACTTTTCCACGACATTCTAGAAATGCCAGGACTTTGGGTCTCCCAGGTCATCTCAGAAATTGCAGGGTTTAGCTTTTCAAACAGCCTCACCGAGAAAGGTCCTGCACCCTGGCAAATAACTCAGATCTGCCACACATCCTGATTTTCCATCCCTGGAAATCCCTTGGGCCCTCAGGCGGAGGGCCAGCCCTCCTCACTTCTTTCCAGACTTTTAACAGAGATACAGGAGGCTAATATCCCCCCAGGGGCTGTGGTGCTGGGGTGGGGACATCAGCAGATTCGAGGGACCCTGGGAAATGGAGGAGATTCCCAGCCTTGGGTAGGTGGCAGGACCCCCAGGCAGCCAAAAATCACCTCCATCCAGGGATCCATTTTTAAGGATTTTAAAGCACAAACAATTCAATTTATTTTCTATCTCTAGCAAATCAACAGTATTTTCTGAATAATAGGAATTACATGTTCAAAAGTAGATACGGTTCCTATTATTCAGAAAATTATTCCAATTGAAGGTATTTTAGTTTAAATTAAGTTTTTAATTTTAGGATTTTCAAATGGATACAAATATATACACACAACAATAATTAAAAGGGAGTTGAATTTGAGGCATGTGGACCATTGAGCACTGGGGTTTTCCCTGTAGGATAAAAGTGACAAATACAGCCCCTGGAAGCTCACACCTCATTCCTGCTCCCCGCTCCACCAGTTATTTGCTGGCTGCTGGATGACATGGGCAAGTAACAGTATCTGTGAGCCTTGGTTTGCCCCTCTGTGAAATGGGTACAGTGAGAGTACCTGCCTCATTAGGTTTCTGTGAGGACTGCATGTACCTATTTGTGTCAAGTACCCAGCACAATGCCTGGCACATAGTAGGTACTCTTAGAAGATGCCAGCACCCCTTGTGCCCTAGTGTCAACAGTTCTGTTCCAGTGACCCCATGGGTCACAGAGCACTTAAGTGGTTATTCTTACATTGTCTCATATTTTGCCTTGGTGAATTCATAAAGGCAAGCAAAAAAACCGAAAGTGGCCTGGTGCGATGGCTTACACCTGTAATCCCAGCTACTCAAGACGCCGAGGCGGGAGGATTATCTGAGCCCAGGAGTTCAAGGCTGCAGTGAGCTGTGATCACGCCACTGCACTCCAGCCTGGGTGCTGGAGCAAGACCCCATCTCTTAAAAAAAAAAAAACAAAAAAAAAACTGAAAACGTAGGTCTTCATTATATTACCTGGTCCGAGTGGTCGGCAGTGTGGGTCTGACAAAAGGCATGAGCTAAAGCCCAGGTGGGCACACCAGGCGGGCTGAAAGTGTATCTTTAGCGTCACTGGGGCACTTGCTTGCCTGGTCTCTCTAAGGGAAGGGACAAAACTGAAGCACATGAAGGAAATTTGGGGGAGCAGATCCCTGTGGCCACAGCTGGGAGACCCCCGGGAATGTAATATACCCTCGAGACTCTCGGGAGCTCCCTGCGAACAGCTTCCTTTCAAGCCATGGGGCCCCGCTCACTCTCGGGATCGCTTTGATGCATTTATACGCTGTGTCAAGTGGCCAGAAAAAATTGGCTGGGCCTCAGGCTGGGCCAGGGAGGTGGCTGGAACACAGCACTCAGCCTGGCAGCGAAACTTTAATACTGACATATTATGACCTCCCAGGGGGTAGCAGTACCTAACCCGACATATCTTACCCCACTGAGTTCTTGCCCCCTATGAACTAAGGACTATTTTTATCTCCTTTTCATAGAAGAAACTGAGGCTCTCAGAGGTAAATTGCACTTAACCTTCCCAGTCATTGCTCTTGTGCAAGCGCTTACACACACACACACACACACACTCTCTCTCCACTGGGACACAGCCCCTCCTCCAAGGCTACCACCGTGACAGCCTGTGGCACTTGGATCTCCCCACCCTCCCCAGGGTCTGGGGGAACACCCTAGGCCTCCACAGCCCCCCACGGCTGGAGGAGGGTGCAGCTCCTCCTCTACAGGCCACTGCCCTTCCCGTGACCTTCCCTGCCACCCACACACCCAGCTAACAGAGCCAGGCTTATCCGTGGCCTTGTCCAAGCCCCTGCCCCTGCCCCTCTCACAGAGCCCATGCGACGCAGCGTGTCCGAAGCAGCGCTGGCCCAGCCCGACGGCCCACTGGGCACAGACTCCCTCAAGAACCTGACGCTGAAGGACTTGAGCCTGAGGAGCAGCTCGGACACATCGGACACCCCCGAGATGTCACTGTCAGCTGAGACACTTGGCTCCTCCAAACCTTCTGACACCAACTTCTTAGAGGGGTCTGAGGCTGCACTGGAAGAGGCGGAGGCCAGAAATGAGCTCAGAGCCGAGGACAGAGGCCGGGGCGCCCTTGCCGCCTTCCCCGAGGGTTTCCACCCGCGGCGCTCGAGCCAGGGTGCCACGCAGATGCCCCTCTCCTCCTCGCCCATCGTCAAGAACCCCTTCATGTCGCCGCTGCTGGCACCCGACAGCATGCTGAGGACCCTGCCACCCGTGCACATCGTGGTGAGCCCCAGACCGGAACGGCGCACCCAGGGAGGAGTGAGGCGGGCGGGGCGCAGGTGCACCTGGGGGAGAAGGGGAGGTGCGCCACCCGGCGCGGGCGGGATGCCAGGGGTCGGGATCAGTGGGGCACACCGCTGGGCTTGGGGAATCAAGACGAAAGGGGGCTTGGAGGTGGGGAGGGACAGGCTGGACAGAGGCCGAGGAGCCCAGTTAAATTCATTCTCTCTTCCTTCCCGCACCTCCCCCTACTCCCTCCATTCCCTCTCCGACTCCCCGCCCACCCCCTGTCCGCATCCGTGTGTTTCCCCCTCCCTCCGCTCATCTACCCGGACCCCCCACCCCACCCCTCCGCACGCCCGTCACTGTGCCCCGCCGCCGTCCCGCAGGCGTGTGCGCTGGACCCGATGCTGGACGACTCGGTCATGTTTGCGCGGCGACTGCGCAGCCTGGGCCAGCCCGTGACGTTGCGCGTGGTGGAGGACCTGCCGCACGGCTTCCTGACCCTGGCGGCGCTGTGTCGCGAGACGCGACAGGCCGCCGAGCTGTGCGTGGAGCGCATCCGCCTCATCCTCACTCCGCCCGCCGCGCCGCGGGTCTGAGCCGCCGCGCCGCGCGGGGCACGGGGGCTGCGGGGGGCGACACTAAAGGCCTCTGTTCCCACCTCCGCCGGCCTCCGTGGTGAATGCGCTCCGGGCCGGGCGGGAGGGGGCGCGAGCTGTGCCTTAAGTCGGGGGCGGCTGGGGGGCGGCACGGGGTCCGAAGCTGAGACCCCGGCCTGGGGGAGGGGGACGCACACACACCGGTCACCGAGACAGCTGGACCTGCACGCCGCCACTGCCTTCTACTGCTGCTGTGACCGGCGCGGGGGCGGGGTCTGGCCCTCCCTGGCTGGTCGATTTGTTTGTTTTTTGTAAATAAAAGTATTTAATTACTTTGGCCTCTCTCAAATAGGGTGGGTGTTTGCCCACCAGGGGGCAGCATCGGACTCAAGCTGCTGGGACCGAGAAACCTGGAAGGGGTGTGGGGGCTGCATTCTCGGGAGCGGAGGCTGTGGCCCCCCCCAGCGGACCCACCTCCCCCTCAGACTTAATCGTGGTAGGGTGCTAGAGGACGCTGGGTCCTCCGTTCCCCACCTATGACGTCCCTCAGTAAGATCGACTGTCCCTGGGCCCAGTGGCAGGGGATTCCCCCCCTTACAACCCGGCCTCAGCATCCACCAGGGGAAAAAAGCAAATCTCTTTGGGTCCCAAAGGCTCCCGTGACCCAAACTCCCTACTGAACAGGCGCAAAGCTGGCAGGAAACCAGAAACAAACTGGCCGCTCAAAATACTGGAAATTCGAGCTCTGCCCAGCTGTGACAGCGCCTGAACCAACTCCCTGGAGGCCTGGCCCCTTGTAAGCCCTGGGTTTGGAGTGGAGATTATTTATACCTAGGACCTGCCTTCAAGGGGCTTCTGATCCTGGAATCGGGGAGGGTGGGGGGGACAGACACAGGCTGTCACAGCCCCCAGAGTTTCCATCTCTAGTGGTCAGGGAGGGCTTCACAGAGGAGATGATCAGAACGTGACATTAAAGGATGAGCACAAATTTGCTAGGCAGAAAAAAACATGGCAGGTTGTGAGAATCAATGGGCAGTGATCGAAGCTTCCACCTGGCCAGAAGGTCAGGTGTGAAGTGGGGAGTGGCTGAGGGGCTGGCGTGGTCAGCAGGAGCAGGCCCTGAAGAGCCTGGAGCACAATTTGGACTCTAACTGGAGGGCAGTGGGGAGCCACGGAGTGCTTTACACAGGAAAGGGCGAGGGTCAGCTCAGGGCACTGAAAGAGACTGGCGCCCTGGAGGCAAAGGAGGAGGCTGGGGACAAGGGAAGACAAGGCCTGAGCTGGGGCAGCAGCCTTGAGGGTAGGGAGTGTGGGTGGAGCATCCCAGAGCCACAACAGTTTGATGAATAGGATGCACTAAGGGTAAGGACAAGGTTACAAGACAGCAAGGGGACAAAGATGACACCAGGTCTGGCCAGGAAAGCAGGGAGCAGGTGGACTGTGAGGCTGGCTCTTCACTGGGCGGAGGCTCAGACGTGTGTGTGTGTGTGTGTGTGTGTGTGTGTGTGTCTGTGTGTGTGTGTGTGAGGGGGGTGGGGCATGCTGGGTGCTGTTTGGGACATGGTGAGATCGAAGGTGTCCACGAGACAAACCAGAGGGACATCCAAGAGGAAGCAGAAGGCAGGAGTGGTCTGGGTGGAGCCAAGGGACTGGAACCTTTCCAGGAAGCCTGGGCTGAGAAGATGGCCAGGTCAGAGAGAGCCCAGAGGACCATTCCTCCAGTTCTGGTCCCAACTCTGACCTGATCCTCCATTGCTCTAAATCCTTCCATGGCTCCCCACTACCCTCCCCCCAGGGCAAAGTGTAAGCTCCTTAGCCTGGCCTCTGACTACCTCTTCATCTTCTTCTAGCCTTACAGTTCCCCTGCTGGCAACACCCCCAGTAAGGGGTGGGGAGTGGAAGGCAAGTGCTAGAAGGTTCTGAGGAGCAGCTGGTGAGGGAGGACGCTGACCAGGAAAGAAAAGGATGTAAAGGAAAGGGAGTTCCAGGCAGGAGACAATGGTCTGTGTGAGATGAGGATGGAAATGTTATCCTCAGGCCTCAGCAATGAGCAGGTGACGTCAGTGACCTTGTCCAGAGCTGTTGCAGGGCCATGGCAGGTGGGCCACCAGATGTCGTGGGCTGAAGAGAGAGCAGGAGGTAAGGGCCTGAGCCAGTGGGCACCACAAGGGAGCCTGACTCGGGGATGTGTGCACCTGTGTTTGGGGATGACGGAACGTTTCAAGGCTGGCAGGGTGGGGGAGACTGAAGATGGAGCAGTTTCCAGAAGGGGTGGGAAGCCAGGATCCTCACCTCAGAGCCCTCCTTCACCCAGCAAGTGAATTCTGAGTCAGGGCCTGTGATGGGGGAGGGAGCTGTGGCCCAGAACTTTCCATGAAGGTCCAGAGCCACCGGCACGAGTCACAGCCCCCCTGGTCCAGCTTATAGAACCCCTTGCTCATCTCTGTCAAAACAGTCATAACCCACCAACCTCCTCTTTCTCGTCCCCAGCTCAGGGATGGCGCCACCATCCCCCAAGCCAGAGCTCTGGGTGTTGTTCCGGACACCCGCTTGTCCCATAGCCCATCAATCCATATATCATGTTCTCTCTGCCTCCTGAATCTCCACCCTATCCCGTCAGCCTCTGCCCTGATCCAGGCTCCATCTCCTGCCTGGGTCCCTGCCAGAGCCACCTCCCAGACTACTGACTTCCAGTGTCATTCCTCCAGTTCTGGTTCTAACTCCGACCTGATCCTCTGCTGCTCTAAACCCTACCGTGACTCGCCACTACCTTTCCCCCAAGACAAAGCCCAAGCCCACCTCTCCATCCTCTTCCAGCCTTACAGGTCCCCTGCTGGCAACACAGACTGACTGGCCTTCCGCTTGGGCGTCCGCACACGGGGATGCTCCTGCCATTGCTCATGCTGCAACACCCTCCCCAAGATCCAGCGCCAATGGCCCCTCCTCGGAAAACCTTTCCCTGACCACGCCAAACCCAAAAAAGACTTCTGGGCTTCCCCCCCGCCTCTGCACACTCATGCCCATCAGTGTCTGTCCTCCCATCTGACCCGGGATCCTTGAGGGCAGGACCAGGCCTGACTCATTTGGGTGGCTGCCATCGCCCAGTACGAGGCCCGGCACACCAGAAGCCTCAGGAAATGTTTGATTAAGTAATAAGTGGGTGAGTGAGTGGCTACAGGAGGGCATCAGTGAGAGGGGGAATTAATGAGGGCAGGAAGGGGTGAGCGGATGGCCGAGCAGGACAGGCAGGGGAAGACAAGAGTCAGGCTTAGGGCGGGAGGAACGGATGGCGGAATATCCGAATCGTGCATCCTGGCGCAGTTTCTCCAACAAAGCAAAATGGGTTCGCCCTGGCTACGCTTCCCGCTCCGCCTCGAGCCTCACGGAGCTTCATCGTTTCCCGTCCGAGCTACGTCCAGAATCCCAATACTGGGCGTGCAGGAAAGGGCTTACCCGGCCACACCCGCAGAACCGGTTCACTCGCGAGCCCGCTCGAACCTCGGCGGAGCGCACCCGATCTCCACTCCGCAGGTTCCGAGCCTATTGGCCGACTGACAGGGACTGGCGGAGACTGATGTCTCCGAGAGCCTATCGCTCTCCGATTTGGGCTGTGGGCCCCCGCCTACCAGGGAAAGCGCCCTGAGTGGCCCGGGGAAGTAGAAGGCCGAGTGTCAATTGGCTGGGTGATAGTGACTGACGTTGTGAGCAGCTTATCGCAGCTGGATCAGGAGAGCGTCTCGCGTGTCGGACCCGCCTCTTGGAGTCACGAATCGGTGGTAGCTGCGGGCGTGGTCGGTCGCGCAATGGCAATGAATGGGGTTTCTGGCGGCACATACCTGGGCTATTTGCTGGCCTGATCCTTGGGTCTTGAGGGAGCATGGGGACTCCTTGACCCTGAGGGAGGAGGAGGCCGGGGACCCAAGGAAGGAGAGACTGGAGACCCCAACTTTTGAGTCTGAGGGAGGAGGGGCTGGAAACCTGCTGATTCTAGCTAGGAAGGGAGACTCCTGGATCCCTGAGTGACTGGTCTGCCCAGCGATGACAGGTTTGGGGTTCAGGATTTTATGAGGCTATTTATGGGATTGGAGCCAGCCTTGCCCCCAGGCGAGTGTTCTGGGTCCTGAGGTGGAGCTTGGAATAGAGATGGAGAGAGAAGCTTGGAGACGCTTTCTAGCCTGCATATGTCCTTTCCTCGTCCCTAAAAGGGAAGTCAGAGGCAGGGTGCTGTCTGCAAAAGAAACCCAGAGTGGGAGGAGACTTGAGACTCACGTAAGACAAAAGAGAAAAACACAGATACCAACGGAGAGATCAAAATAATAAAACAATAATAAGAGCACTCTCGTACCAAGTTTACTGTGCCCAGGATCTGTGCTAAGCATTTTACATAATTATCTCTTCATCATCACAACTCTAAGAGATCGGATTATTATTATTATTATCCCCACTTTACAAGAGAGAAAATTGAGGCCCAGAGAGGGACAATCAAGATACAGATGGAAAGAGACAGGAGAGACACAAAACAGATGGAGATAAACAAAGAAAAACAGGCCCAGAGAGAGAGAAGAAAAGGTAGACAGCAAACAAGGGGAGAGCGGCTGAGAGCTGGGACTTCTGGGTGGGGGTGGGGGCTGTGGAGAGCTGGGGACTGGGACTCCTGGGTCCTGGAGAAGGCAGGACCAAGGATGGGGACCCCCAGGTATTTCCTCCCCTGACTCCATGATACTAGGTTTGTCCAACCCTTCTTGTGGGTGTTGGATCTGGTTGGGGTCGAAAATAGTGATTAGGAGGGGCAGATGCATCATTATCCTACTAGGAGATGATAAGAAAATGATTAATGGAGGTGCCCCCAGCTTAGGAGGGGCCTTTCCCCCATGGCCTTTGTTCTTTGATCTGGGCAGATCAGAATGCAGGGAAGATCAGGGAGGGGCAGGGCCCTCTCTGTGCCTCCCCATCTCTGCATCTCCGTCACTCAGAACTATCACTGCGGCCCATCTTGGAGA